AATTTGTCTTCTTAAAAAGAAGTTGCCAAAACCATTAAAATATGTCTTCTTAAATTTGGTGAGGAGTTTTAATTCTGGTCTAATTAATCTCTTGACTTATCATCCTTAGCTCACCCAATGCGTCATGAAGCAGTTTACTATGAACGAGTCCCTATCAAATTGAGGTAGGTAGGACCCACATCCTCTATATATATATGAACAACATCGCAATTGCTACTTTCACAATCTCTTCTCTACCCACCTCAGATTCTCACTATATTACATTGTTAGAGAGAGAATGGAAATGGTGTGTCCAGAGCAAGAACACCCAAATAAGGCCTTTGCATGGGCTGCCACAGATTCTTCTGGAGTTCTCTCTCCCTTCAAAATCTCAAGAAGGTTGTTACATATCCTATATCTTCTCCATCCTATTATTTATTTGCCGCTTTCTTTTCACTCTAGGAATACCAGTCTCTCTTCGGTTTCTTCAAAAATTAAAACAAAATATTATATTCAACTCGTGTAAGCTCCATGCTTTATATTTTGTTTTTGGTACAATCTTTCCTTCCAATGAACTCAGTTTTTGAAGGGATTGGTTGCAGGAAAACGGGAGAGAAAGACGTGGCTTTAAGAGTTTTGTACTGCGGGATATGCCATTCGGACCTTCACAAGGTCAAAAATGAATGGGGGACTACTAGCTATCCTATTGTTCCTGGGTACGTACAAAGTCTCACAAATATACTAACTTTTTTTTTTCAGGAATCTCGATAAAAGACATGGGAGCGAGGTCCAACCTCTTCTAATGCTGAAAGTAGAAATATCACTAGACTAAGAGTTAATTAGTTTCATCTCATGTTGCTATCCATCTAATTAATGGGTTGAATGTCAATAGCACAACATTTTTTAACATTATTTTTAGGGAGTTTCACTAAAACACCCAAAATGGGGGTTGAAATTATAAAAAAACCCAAGCACTATTTAAACATATAAACACACCCAAAATCCATCATTACACACACTCAAAACCCATTTATAAACACACCCAAAAAGTTGACTTTGGGGTTGATTTTGGGTGTGTTTCTATGTTTAAATAGTGCTTGGGTTTTTTTATAAATACATGTCTAGGATTGGGTTTATTTATAAATTTGTATTATTTTTATGGAGTGCTAATATTTCCACCCATATGTCCTTATTTCCACCCACATATCCTATTTTCCCACCTACCTTATAATCAAAGTTTTAAAGACAAATTTATCCCTTCGTAAAATTACTTTTAAGGACTTGGGAAAAAAACCTCGAACTCTCCTTAAAATAAGATTTTCTTTATGAAAACAAATTCTCTCTCCATATGTCTCCCCCTCCCAAGCCACCCCCAACCCATCCTTGGAATCTCTATAGCCACCCCCTGAGCAACCCTAGCCACCATTCCCCTACAACACTTATTTACGAGTCTTGTTCAGCATACTAGGAAACATTTAAGATTGTTGGGGCTTTTGGTATCTGAACCAAATCTTGAAGGAAAGCTTAAAATGATGTTGATGCCATGAAAGCTTGAAATTTTACTCGATTCTTAAGCAAGACCAAGTCAGGGCACACATAAATATAACAAGTAGTAAAAGAAATTTTCATTTTTCTCTTTTCCTTCAGGCAGAAAAAATTTCCCACAATTTGAATTTTTTTGAGAAAAATTGAAGCTCACTCTTCTAGAATCCAAATTCCTAAGAGGAGGAAGACAATGGAGGCTCTGGTTTGCATAAAATTGGAGGACCCAATAATACCCATTTCAGAAGGAGCAGAGAAAGCAATAGTTATAGAGAAGGGTTATCTAATGCGTGTAAAGAGAGAGAATTATGGAGGCCGAACGAGGTGGGGGAGGGAATGATGGCTAGGGTTGAGGGCTTCAGGGGTTGGGGTAGGTCGATAAGGTGGGGAGAGAAGGAGAGAGACTTGTTTATATTTTATTTCTATGTTATTTATTATTAATATTTTACTTTATTTTAGTTGAATTAATAATTAAATGGCATTTTAGGAATAATGGTGGGTGGAAAAATAGGATTGTGTTTTTTCAAATTTATATGGTGGGTGGGAAGATAAAGTGGGTGGGAAAATAAGACAAAGGGGTGAAAATAACAACACTCTTTTTATGTTATTGAACTTAGTATGTGGAATTCATTGTGATGTCCATTTAACTAACCAAATGTGGAACTGATTAATTGAATTCAGGTATGAGGTTATTGGTGTAGTGACAGAGGTAGGAAGCAAAGTAGAAAAATTCAAAGTTGGAGACAAGGTAGGTGTTGGATGCATGGTGGGATCTTGCCAATCTTGTGATAGTTGTGCCAATAATTTCGAGAATTACTGCCCCGAACTGATACTCACCTATGGTGAAAAGTACCACGACGGAACCACAACATATGGAGGCTACTCCGACTTCATGGTGGTCGATGAGCACTTCATAGTTCGTATTCCGGACAACCTTCCCCTTGACGGTGCTGCTCCTCTCTTCTGTGCCGGGATTACAACTTATAGCCCCTTGAGATATTTTGAACTAGACAAACCCGGAATGCATGTGGGTGTGGTTGGCCTAGGTGGAGTAGGGCACTTGGCAGTGAAGTTTGCCAAGGCCATGGGGGTGAAGGTTACAGTGATCAGCACCTCCCTTAATAAGGAGAAGGAAGCAATTGAACATCTTCATGCCGATTCGTTTATAGTTAGCCATGATCAAGATCAGATGCAGGTGATTGTTTGAACAAGTTGCCATGGTGATGATGACTTTAATTCAGCAGATTGATTTAGTTGTTTGGTAATTTGTAGGCTGCTATGGGAACAATGGATGGTATCATTGACACGGTTTTTGCCGCCCATCCCCTTTTGCCTTTAATTGGTTTGTTAAAGTCCAATGGAAAGCTTGTGATGGTTACTGCACCAGAGAAAAATATTCAGATTCCAGCTTTTTCTTTGCTCATGGGTAAGCATCTATCTTGACTCCGAATGACAAGTTGACTGCCTTTTACCTGTTAATAATTTTTGTCTTACCCTTTGCACATGGTGCAATTACAGGCAGGAAGATTGTAGCTGGGAGTCGGATTGGAGGCATGAAGGAAACACAAGAGATGGTTGATTTTGCAGTCAAGCACAGCATTACAGCTGATATTGAGGTTATCCCGGTTGATTATTTGAACACTGCCATGGAACGTCTTGCCAAATCCGATGTCAAATATCGATTTGTAATCGATATTGGAAACACACTAAAGTCTACATCTTAAATTTTTGAGAGAGAGAGAGATATATATATATATATAATGCATAACGGCGACGTATTAAATTAGAGAAAAGCAAACACCTTGTTTTCGTACTTTTATTTGGTAAATAAAAACTTCCTATATTCTAATTGTTCCTACTGCTTCATCAGACATCTTGTAGAAACACACACGGAGTTATATGCAATCATGGCTGATGGATGATTCCTAGATTTAACTTTAACAATCTAATTTCTTATCGATGACATTTCTAAAATGAATGTCATAAGTTGAGAGCTAAAAATCAAGCGTCCCGGTTTTAGAGGACACAGAACAACTACTAGAAGTGCCATATGAACTTCCACTTGAAACAACTACTAGAAGTGCCATATGAACTTCCACTTGAACCATCGATAGGGACTTGGTTTAGACATTCTAAAACCATAAACCTCCGCTTTTTCAAATTTATTGAGAAGGTTGTCGACTCAAGAATCACATGAACCTGATGACGCATTAGAAATTATGAATAACAATCAACCAAAATTCATAGTAATGGAAATGTTAGCAGAAAAAGCTGTAGTACCAAAGATTTCTAAGGATGACCGAGTGAAAAGGTGGGTCATGCAGGTGCATGTTTACACAACTATGGCAAGTTCACATGCTAACTTCATCCAACGAAAAAGGAGAGACGGAAAACTTGATTCATATTGGTGTAGTATAGTTTTACATTACCTGTGTATTAATACGTGCAACTTTGTGCACATTGAGAAGGCCAACCATGTTACCAGTAAGGAGCTTTTCCAATTCCTTGTCCTCTTCTGAATGAATGTGTCATTATAGATTATTATTGTCAAAATATTCGATAGCACAAAAACAAATGTTAAAGCTGATATTAACCTGGAATTGCTTTGACCGATAGCAAGGAAATGAGAAGTCATTCAGAGCCCTAATGATGAGTCGATTTTATATTATATATTTAACCCTATTCTTAGTATATTTTGGTTAATATTTTGGAAGAATTTTGATACTTTGAATTATATTTCCAATATAGGATTGTCGACTTCCTCTAGGGCAAAACATAATCAAATGGACGAATTTTGGAGTAATTCCAGTTGGAGGACGTACGTGAGTCAATTAGCTTGATTGTATCAAAATATCAGACTTTTCCACCAAGCGATGATTTCCTGATGAATAAATGAAGGAGCGATGTGCAGTGCTGGAATAATGACGTTTTGGGCTTTGCACAAACATCGAAGAGAAGTTAATCCAGACCAGATCAGGAACTGCACAGCTTGTACAGTTTGATCCAGAACTAGAGCACACTCTGCACAGACAGCGAAGATAAGTTAATCAGGCCTGGGACTGTTCACTGCAGGGCACTTTTCTGAAAAATTTGCTTGCAGAGGAGGGAAAAATGGTGTTGGCAATACCTGCAGCAGGCAGACTACTCAGAGAGTCGTTGGCTACCTGTGCAAATGATGTTCCTAATTGCATAGTCTATCCCACTCAGGAAGAGGGAGACACATTTGAAATCAAGCACCACATGCTTGAGATTTCACCATCCTTCCGTGGGCTGCCTAATGAAGATGCGAACATACATATTGCAAAATTTATTGTGGGTTGCAAGAATATTTTGATTAGGGGTTTTTTTGCTGAAGCTATCAAGTTACGTCTTTTTCCTTTCACTTTGAAGGACAAGGCAGAAACTTGGTTATTTACTACTTGGCAGCAATTACACACAAAATTCTTGAACAAATATTATCCAGCATCCAAGACATTGAATTACAAGAGGGAGATTTTGACATTCACACAGAAGCCTAATGAAGAGTTTCATGAAGCATGGGAAAGATATACAGAGATGTACATAAAGTGTCCACATGTTAATATTGATTCAGATACACAGATGAATATTTTCTTTGATGGGCTTAATCCGACATCTAAGAGTCATGTGAATGCATCAGCTGGAGGATCGTTGTCAAATAAATCTGCAAGAGAAGCATTTGAATTATTTGATATGATGGCTACAGAATCTCAACAATAGGCAGCAGAACATTCACAGAAAATGGGAATTTTTTGCACTATCTGCAGCATGGCTACACACGACATAATGGGCTGCCCACATAGAGACTCCTACCCAGAGCTTGTTGAACAACATGTCAATATGATGAACAGCTATCAGAGGCCTAGGAATGATGCATATGCCAATCATTACAATCCAGGATGGAGGGATCATCCTAATTTCAAATGGGGTGACAATCAGAATAATGCAAAACCATTCCAGCATGCCCAAAAAACCTTTTGTTCCCTCCAAACCATCTCTGGATGATCAACTAGCTAAATTGGCAGCAACAACTCAATCATTCATCGAGGGTAACAATCAAAGATTTCAAAATGTTGAAGCATCAATTAAAAATTTGGAGCAACAATTTGGCCAGCTAGCTGCACAGATTTCAGACAGAGACAAAGGCAAATTTCCTAGTCAAACAAATCCTAATCCAAATGGACGTGAAGATTGCAACTTTGTTCGGACTTTACGATGTGGAAAAAACTATGACAATCAGGAAATAGCATTGAAAAGGAGCAGCAAGCAGTGGCGGATAAAACAGAAAATTTTGCAGTAGCAGAACCTGCCAAAACTGCAGAAAAGCATATCCTGGCAGATTCTGAAACTGTCCCTAAACAGGTTTTATAACGTGTTTATGACCCTCCATTACCCTATCCTGCACATTTGAAGCCTAAAGCGAAGGACCAGCAACTCAAAGACTTTATGCAGACATTATCCAAGGTTCAAATTAACATTCCATTATTGGATGCAATCAAGAAAATTCCATCATATGCCCAATTTTTTAAGGAAGTTTGCAGCTTTCAGGTTTGGACAAAGTCATTTTGACAGAACAGTGCAGCGCAGTTTTGCTACACAAACTGCCACCTAAGAAAAAAGATCCAGGGAGTTTTAATATTTCTTGCACTATTGGAAATTCTAATTTTAAAAGTGCTTTAATTGATTTGAGTGCAAGTATTAATTTGATGCCTTTTTCTGTTTTCCAGCGATTGGGGCAAGGAGATTTAAAGCCTACATCAATGATACTTCAACTAGCTGACCATTCAATTACTTATCCAAGAGGTATTATTAAAGATCTAATTATAAAGGTTGATAATCTTTACCTACCGGCAGATTTTGTGGTTCTAGACATGGACGAAGAGCTTCAAACACCTATTATTTTGGGGAGGCCGTTTATGGCCACTACTCGGACTTTAATCAATGTGGAAGCTGGAACATTGACTCTAAGGGTTCAAGACCAATCTGTGGTGTTTAATTTGTTTGAGGCAGCAAACTGTCCCGCTGAG